CTCTTCGTTCAGTATCGAATCGTCAAAGGGTGAGGTCGCAAGCACTTCCACTCAAATTTTGAGTTCGGCCTTTGACTGAGTCTGAGGCACTCGGCAACGTGGCTTTGGGATTCTGCTAGGCCCGCTAGGCATGAATTTAATAGTTAGGCTTAGGGCTTAGGGTGTACCCAGTCAGCTTAAAACAGGCCCTGGATTGAATTGAATTGCAACAGTAGGTTGGATAGTAGCTTGGCCTGCTCTATGATTATTCAGATTCAAAAAACCAACTTGTAGCTTAGCTTCAATTTGGGATCGATTTAGGTATGTTGGAAGGCTTAATGAAGGGACGAGGCTTTGGCCAAGAAGCATATGGAAGCAGCTGCCTTTGCAAAGGTTCACTGTGGAGGTCATTGTTCGCTTCGGTTGTACTCTGGCAAACATTATATTTTGTTGGCTGGATTTCTTGAGAGCCGTACTTATAAAGGCCCAGGGGATTTAGTAAGTCGGTTATAAGTATGATATAATTGGGCTATCTAGGGTACTTATAACTTATACCCTCTAACCTACTTACTAAGTCCCCTGGGCCTCCAAGTAGGGTTCAGGGTTACCCTAAACCCCTGCACCCAAAGCCCTAAACTGAGTAAGGCCGGTGTCCGCAAACCCAAAGCCAAACCTGGCAATGAAATCCCGAAGCTCGGAAGGCCGCACAGACGGCACTTAGAAGCGCCAAGAAACATTAGAGTGTCCGAAGGCCTTAGCCTTCTGATGTGGCATTGTTTCGGAACATGTGGATTCATTGAGCCTCCTCAGCTCGCTTGCTAGGTTCCATTTCTTCTAATTTTTCAATTATTAATCTATAGTTGGATGCGAAAATATGGGAACATTTATTACTATGTTGAGCAAGCTCGCCAGCAGCCCCCACTTCGCCATCTTTAAACCTTGAGCCATCAAACCCTAACTGTGCACCCCAGCCTAAACCCGCGGAACCCTGACCCTAACCTGCAGCCCTTAAACCCTGCGCCCGAACCCTAAATCCTAAATGGCTCGAAGGCTCAAGCCATTGAAAAGTAGGAAAACCCTAACCCTAACTGCAGACCTTAAACCCTGTGCCCGAACCCTAAATGGCTCGATGGCTCAAGGCCCTAGGCCAACAACGCGAAGGCTCAAGGAAGAGCCACGGCTCGAGTCGACGCTTCTTCTTATGTGTGCCGGGTGATTTTGATGAAGTCCATCTCTGAATCCGGGTTTGTGAAGACGTTTGTCCCGCCTGCTAAACGAAGCCCCAAGACCCAAAACACCAAGTCTCCTGAAAACACCAAGTTACACGATAGAGCATTAGGGCTTATCAACCTAAGCGTTGACAAGGTGGTGCCTTTCGCCCCTCACTACTGTCTCAAGGTTGAAATTGACCTAGCTCATGGCCTTGTTAACCTCCCCTCCCTGAAAGGTTTTGCGACGTTCCAAGGGACTACCGCCGCTAGCCTGCAAGCTCCTGCCTCTAAAGGCCTTGAGCTGGACGGGACTGGGGTCACCCCTCCCGCTGCTGCCACGCCC